CGATTTTTGGGGTACGGCACAATTGGAACAATTAGAGAAAACAGAATTTCATCTAGCTGTCCCTTGGAAAAAAAGAAGGAGTTTTCTAAAAGAAATCGTGGCTATTCACAACATACAATAGAAAAAAACAGCGGTATCTTACTGGTGCGATGGAAAGATAACTCTGTTGTCACAATGGCATCTACGAGTTGTGGTGGTTCAGCATTGGGCACGGTAAAAAGATTTTCTCATGAAGAAAAACGCCATATTCGAGTAAGTCGGCCTCACTGTATTGCTGAATACAATAAAAATATGGGGGGTACCGACTTGATGGATCAAGGTGTTTCAACCTACCGAGTAGCAATTCGCAGTAAAAAATGGTTACTGGCCAATTGTAACATGGTTGTTGGATGTTGCAGTCCATAATTCATGGCATTTATATAAAAAAAATTAAAAAGATATATCCTTGCTATCGTTTAGGAGAGAATTGGCCCAAGTTCTTCTCGCAAGATATGGAAGTCCTCCCTTATATACAGGAAGACCTAGTCTACATAGACAGAACTTGCCAGATCTTCGTTTTGATCGCATCGATCATTTCGTTACACCAAGCAGTAGAAGGCGATGTGCTGGTGAAGGATGTACAACATCTGGACGAACAATGTGCCAAAAATGCAACGTTGGTTTGTGTGTTAATTGTTTTATAGGATACCACACCAGACGATAAAAATATTCTCAAATAAATATTAAAAAAAAAATTAAAAATTTTTATTTCAACGATCCTAATTCCTTAAGCGCCCATCGTTACCATATGGAAACACCATGTAATTTTTTTAAAAAAAGACATGAAACCGAAAAACTTATTTTTTTGGATTAAATTATTAACATTTTCATCTAATTAACCCTAAAAGTAAAGATTTTCAAAAAAAACTTGGGCGCTAATGGGTTAAGTATAAAACTAATACATGTGTCATTTAAAATTACTTCAGAAACACAACAATTGGTTTATAGACAATATTTTTTGAAAATTTTAAATCTACAATTCTACAAAATGCTAAATAAATAATTAATTCACGATAATGTCTTCCATTATCTAGATTTCCCTGAAATTGAGGCAAATTATCTTCCTGTTGATCTAGATTAAGATCTACAGGAAACAAGTCTCCATTTTCTATAGCTATGTTATGCAGTACTGCTGTAGCTACTATTACATTCATAGTTACATCCAAATTCAGCCTCATTCCGTTTCTTAAAATTGGAAACCGTCGTTTCCATACCCCGTATTGCCTTTCCACAACATTCCTGGTTCTTATGAGAGATTCATTGTAAAGATTTTCTGCTTCTATTCTCGCATCATGTAGCTGGGTCATTAAATGTGATTTTATACCATAACCACTATCACCAACTAGTACAAATCTACCAAAATTTCCAGCTTCAAATCTTTCTTTTATGCCACTATTTTTAAATATTGTTTGATCATGCACAGAACCAGGCCATCGTGCGACAATATTTCTAATTTTTAAACTAGAGTCACTGATTGTTTGGACATTTAACGCAAAAAATCCTTTTCTTGAACGATATATTTCTACGCCTACACCTATGCGTATATTCGTATTAAAGTGCAATCAATTGCACCTATGCATCTTGGAAATCGTGCAATGGCATAAAAGGCTTCTGCAGCTTGGACCATTTCATCATTTGTTTCATACATTTTAATATACTGTCTGCTTAATGATGCAATTGCTGCAGAAACTCTTTTGATAATTCTGTATGCTGTTGCCCTTGATATACCCATGTAGTCAGCTACTGATACTTGCTTGCTTCCAGAAGCAAAAAATCTTAATGTCAATAATAATTATTGGAGTGGTGTAACAGCTCCTCCCCTAAAAATATGTTCTTATTAATATTTTTATCTATACACATTTTAACATTGTTGGTTTGACTTTTTAATGATTTTTGTATCCACCAATGTTAATGTAATCATAAATTTTATTATATCTTAACAGTATTACTTACCTATTTGTTGGAAGTTTTATTAAATGTTCGATTCCCTAATAACACACGACGTCCTATGGACGTCCAAAATACGTCCAGTTTTGGTCCGGGCGTCCGTGGACGTTAAACGGACGTCCTATGGACGTACGGCGTGGGACGTACTTCGGGTGGACTAAATATGGACGTTCTCTGGACGTCCGTCCGCGGACGTTCTCTGGACGTCCGTCAACGGACGTCCTCTGGACGTCCGTAGTTGGACGAAATACGGACGTAATCTGGATGTCTGATATTTGTGATATATACCACTTATTAGATCAAATATTTCAATAAAACTTATTTATGTTGGTAAAATAATTAAAATCGAAGAGGTAAAATAATGATTTATTAAAAATTGTTTACTTAGTTTAATATCCAAAACATGTTTTTGCTTATTATTCTATAGTTACCAAGATGATATAAAAGTTTGCTCATTCTAATAAGTAAAAATGTGATTTTTATCAATAAGATACGAATCTATAGATGACATTTTTTCGAAGATGACATAAAATGATGAAATTAATATCAATTGTCATTATCATATCACACGTATTTAAACAAATGGAATGAATTAAGAGGTCCTATTTGCTGCTTGATTTGGTGATAATAGATACATATTATTTACTAAAGACGATTCGTTATTTACTTTATACTTTGTTTGTTTTAACGATTCTTATTTTTAAAAAGGTAAGTGCATTTCTTTCTAAAATTAAGCATGTTTAAACGAAAACGATTTGTTTCTAAGCGCCATCAACAGAGAATAGTTAAGAAAAATGTAGAGAATATTGTTGAAAATATTAATAACTCGGATATTCAATTCTCTACAAACCTTTCTTCAGAATCTATAGCCTATTATTGTGATGCGAGTTGCAGTTCAATTAGTTCAGATTATACTTCCGATTTAAACTTATCAACATCATATCAATTACCTAAAACAATCAGAATGGACTACATGGACGACCATTCTGATTTAGATTCTTTAGAAAGTTATTCTTTAAGTGAAATTGATGAACAAGTGTCTAAACGTAGTTGTAACGAGAATTCTGGGGAACCTTCTCCAGAAGTTTTTAATTTTTCTTATAAATTATGCAACTGGGCTTTGTCCTTTAAAATACCACAAAATGCATTAAGTGATTTATTAAAAATTCTTAAAGAAGTTCCTGATCTTTCTCATTTGCCATCAGATGCTAGAACCCTTCTTGCTTCACCCAGAGATCTCAAATTTAAAGATGTTTTTCCTGGAAAATACTTCCACTTCGGTCTTAAAAATACTCTGGTCCATATGATTCAAATTTCAGAAGTTTTTTTATCTTTGCCAAAAAACAATGTTATAGAAATTTGTGTAACTTTTGATGGAATTCCACTGACAAAGAGTTCTGGTAGCCAGTTTTATCCTATTTTGTGTAATTTGTTTATAGATCCAAAAATTGTGGGTGTAATAGGCATTTACCATGGTTATCAGAAACCAAAAGATGCAAATGAACTTTTAATTGATTTTGTTACTGAGGCTGTTGAACTTATAAATGTTGGGTTAAGTTTTAATAATATCATATACTCAGTTGTTATTAAAGCAATTATTTGTGATGTTCCTGCAAAAGCTTTTATTACATTTACTACAGGTCATATGGGTTATAATAGTTGTTCTAAGTGCCATGTTAAAGGTAAATATCGAGACAATAGAATTTGTTTTCCATATACTGAAAACTTAATTGATAGGTCTGACAACGAATTTAGAAGCAAAAGTGATCCAAGACATCATAATGGCACATCTTTGTTAGAAAAGTTACCTAATTTTGATATGATACAGTGTTTTGTGTTAGATTATATGCATTTAATTTGTTTAGGAACAATGCGTAAGTTATTGTATTTATGGTGTTTTGATTCAGTCTGGAAATAAATTGTCAGCAAAAGATGTATCAAAAATATCAGAACTTTTACTTCTGCAAAAGTCATATATTCCATCTGAATTTACTAGAAAACCAAGATCTCTTACTGAAGTTAAAAGGTGGAAAGCCACAGAGTTTAGGCAATTTCTATTTTACACTGGACCTATTGTACTAAAATCAGTTTTATCTTCTAGTTTATACCAAAATTTTTTAGTCCTTTCTATTGCATGCATGCTCTTAACAAATCCAAAATATGCTAAACATACAGACTTGGCCCAAACTCTAATGAAATATTTTGTTGATTCTTTTATAGTTCTATACGGAGAGAAGCATGTATCTCATAACATTCATAATTTGCTACATATTTCTAAAGATGTCAATTATATGGGAGTTTTAGACAAATTTAGTACTTTTCCATTTGAGAACATGCTTCAAAAGCTCAAAAATCTAGTGAGAAAAGGAGATAATCCTTTGGCTCAGGTTGTAAAAAGAATTATAGAAATTAATTATCATAAGCAGGTTAATAAAGTAAATATTGAAATTGAAAAAAAAAATTTACAACAAAACGACAACATGATAAAGGACCATTAGTTCAGAATGCTACCTTTCCTCAGTTTGAGTCACTTATTTTTAATGAATTTACCCTAAAAATCATTGAACCAGATAATTGTTGTGCTTTAAAAGATGGTAGTTTAGTCACTATTCAAAATTTTGCCAGTTTGAATGGAGATATTGTTATTATTGGCTATAAGTATCAGATTAAAGAAGATTTTTTTTGTAAACCCTGCAGGTCTTCTGATTTAAACATATATTTTGTTAAAAGCTCAGGTCCCCTTCAAGTATTTCAAGTAGAAAATATTGCCTATAAATGTATTAAGTTAAGTTATCAAGATAGCTTTGTTATAATGCCTATGTTACATACAGACATTCTTTAGTGACAAAATAAAATATTTTATTAAAAAAATTTATTATAATTTTGTTTAATTATATATTGGAATTTTCCATAGATTTAATTTTAATATTATGGGATGGGTCTGTATGTTTAACGCTAGTTTAGGTTGTATGTTATCTTGTCTCAAAAGAACATTTATCATTTAATGTTTTCACATGTGTAGGTATTCAATTTCAAAATATTTATTTATTTAAAGTTCCCAAACGTCAACACATAAGGCTTCTTTTCTTACTCCCTTAGAGTCATTATGAGTGAGTCCTTTGATATTTGGCAATTAGTTTGATTCTAAATTAGACTTATTATAACCACTTTTATATTCCATTTGAACTTATGGTTAATCTAAGGTTATGTTTTAAACATAAAATTTGCTGCTTTTAATTATTTTAGTGTTATCATGAAAACCTGGACAGTAGTCAGATTTTTAAAAGATGGCTCAGTAGAGGCTGTGCCAACAAATTGGCTAAGCGGCAATACTTGTTCTTGGCCACATTATGAGGCGAATAAATTAGGAAAGGCCCTAAAAAATGGTGACCCACCTTTACCTACGTGGGAAAAACATGAAATAAGTTCATTTAGAAATGCGACCTATGGTAAGAAATGTAAATGGACCTTCTAGTTGATCTATATAAATAAACAAATAATTTTTTTCATAGATGATTACAGTATTGCAAGGAGGAAGTGCCAGAAGGCGGAGAAAACATCGGACCTAAACTCATCAGATAATAGGCCTCGCAGACGCCGTCCCCCTACAAAGTTTGCCACCACGAGCAGCAGCAGCAGTGAGTCAGAGAGTGCTATGGGGCATAAAAATACCAAAAGCAATCTTCCAAAAATGCCAGAATTTGCATTAAGTAAAGCATCAGGTAATTCACCACAAGTTTTTAGATTTGTTTTTAACCTATATTATTTATATTTTAGGAATTATTTCCCATTAAATTCACTCTGTTTTTTAGGTGATTCAGATTCTTTTCAGGAAGAGGTTGGTGCAAAAGAAACCATGGAAGATGGAGAATCAGGTACAGAGAAAATATAAAATAATAGCATCAGAGTGAAACTTCTATAATTAATTTTAGTTCAGTATCCTTTATACAAAAATTGCTACAATGCTACTTATGCAAATAGGGGTAAATAGAAATTTGTTTCTATTAGGTAGGCCTTATTTAATTATGCTTCTTATGAATTACATAGAAGTTCCACTGTATTCTTTTTATATCACAGCTGTAAGTAAATATTTAATTTTAACCTATTTTATATTTTAGTTGACAGCAGTGGAAAAAATGGAGGTGCATATAAATGTGAACAACAACATCAAAAAAATGAGGGTATGAAAAATTTTTAACAACTAGTTATATTAATCTCACATAAATGTTCTCTTTTTTAGAATATCTAAAGCACATCCTGAGAAAATTAAATATGTTAGAATTAATTGTTACTGACTTACGGGCTGAAGTAAGTAATCTTTCGAAGATATATACATTATCACCCCGAGAACTCCAAGAACAGCCTATTTTGAATATATGGGAAAATTTCTCCCTGCCTTTGAATTCGGAAGAAGAGTTTGTAAATTTTGAGGATTTTTTGAAATCCTCAGAAAAAAAAATTGAATCGGTAAGTTCTATACTGTTACTAATACCAAATTCAGTGTATCCATAATTTTGGTAATCAGTGATAGATAATAATAAGATATATATATATATATATATATATATATATATATATATATATATATATATATATATATATATATATATATATATATATATATATATATATATATATATATATATATATATATATATATATATATACAGGGTGAGTCACGCTCAACGGGACGGAGCCTACCGGGGAAACGACTAAAGATACTAAAAATTTCTTTTGCAGGAATACGTAGGTTAGTACCGGCTACAAATTAAAATTTGTGAGATATATACAGGGTGTCCCAATTTGGCGTAATGATATAAACTTATACTTTTTTAAATGGCATAACCTATATTTCACTTTAATTTTGAATTATACTGAACAAAATAATGTTACTTTATTCAACATTCCCTATACCTATTTTTGACCGGTTTCGATTTATTTGGGTTTTTCTGAAAATGTACTATTCGCGAAATTAATTAATTACACAATATCGCATGAATTTTAATTAACGCCTTTTTGTCAGTTAATTGTCAAGTGTCCATGCTTTATATCAGAATAATTACCATTTGAAACTAATCTACAGAGTGTTCGCAATCTGAAGTGTCAATGCTGTACCATATTTTGTATAATTACTTTCTTAACTTAAATAGGACACCCTGTATTTTACTTTAATTTTGAATTCTAATTAAAAAAATAATATTACTTTATTAAACAATCCCTATACCTACCTATCTTTGAGAATTTTCGATTTATTTGCGTTTTTTTGAAAATGCACTATGTATTCTTGAAATTAATTAATTTTTATCACTTTATTACATAAAGTTCTACTCTAACTTAAACAAAAACCCTGTATTTGAATGTTGTAACAATTATTATAATCAAACTATTATAAAATTTTATATTAATATCTAGTATCTTTAAATCTATTTGCATTATGTTACCTGGAACATTAAATGTCATTAATTACATAGCTCGTTATTATAAAGAATGCCATGAAAAAACAAAAGGTACCTAGCTGTCAAACTATTAACTGTATTGCTTCCAATTAAATAGAAATGGCAGATTATTCAATTGAAGACCCAGTAAATATGATTTTAATACTGGGTGAATGTGATCAAAACAGTTTGTTAGCATCAAGAGTCTATGCTGAGAGATTTCCCTTAAAACGTCATCCTCGTAAAGAAGTATTTGACAGAGTCTTAACAAGGTTTCGTGAAACTGGCAGTGTTGTTTATACTAAACGAAAATTAATAAATCCGATATCTGAAGATGAAAATACCGAATTAGAAGTTATTCAATCAGTTATTGAAAATCCAAATACAAGTACAAGGACGATGGCCAGGGAGATTGAAGTAAGCCAAACTAGTATATGCAGAATTCTTAAAAAGTATCAATATCACCCATACCATATTCAAATGCATTAGCATTTGTATGGAACTGATTTTGAACGTAGGTTAGAATTTTCTTTATGGTTTCTAGACAAAACGGGAGCAGATCAACATTTTTTTGATAAAATTTTGTTCACTGATGAATCTACTTTCCATAATAATAGACTCGTGAACCGACACAACTTTCACTGTTATAATACGGAAAATCAACATAAATATAGATGTACTGATCGACAAAACCGATGGTCCCTGTATATGGTGGAATAATAGGAGAACATGTGATAGGACCGTATTTTTTTAATGGCCATTTAAATGGAACAAAGTTTTTAAGATTTCTACGAAGAGACTTTTGGATACTTTTGCAAAATATCCCTTTAAATATTAGAAGAACAATGTTTCTGCAGCTAGACGGCACATTACACGCGTAACGTTAGAGAATATTTAGACAGAAAAAATTGGATAGGTAGGGGTGGTGCTGTCAATTGGCCCCCTAGATCACCTGGGTTAACATGAATGGACTTTTTTTTGGGGATATATTAAAAGTTTGGTTTATCAAACTCCACCTACAACCGCTGAAGACATGAAAACGCGTATTCGTAATGCGTTTGCAACAGTTACCCCAGAAATGCTAAGAAGAGTAAAACAAAATTTTGAACACAGAGTGAGGTTATGTATTGAAGAAAATGGACAACATTTTGAACATTTAATGTAAATTAATTTTTTTTAGTGTGTTTTGTTTAACTTTATGTAATAAAGGGTAATAAATTAATTTCAAGAATAGTGTATTTTCAAAAAAACCCAAATAAATCGAAAATTATAAAGGATAGGTATAGGGATTGTTTAATAAAGTAATATTATTTTTTTGATAAGAATTCAAAATTAAAGTAAAATACAGGGTCTCCCATTTAAGTTAAGAAAGTAACTACACAAACTATTATACAGCATTGACACTTCGTATTGCGAACACTCTGTAGATTAATTTCAATTGGTAATTATTTTAATGTAAAGCATGGACACTTGAAAATTAACTGACAAAAGGGCGTTAATTATAATTGATGCGATATTGTGTAATTAATTAATTTCGCGAATAGTACATTTTCAGAAAAACCCAAATAAATAGAAACCGGTCAAAAATAGGTATAGGGAATGTTGAATAAAGTAACATTATTTTGTTCAGTAGAATTCAAAATTAAAGTGAAATATAGGTTATTCCATTTAAAAAAGTATAAGTTTATATCATTACGCCAAATTGGGACACCCTGTATATATCTCACAAATTTTAATTTGTAGCCGGTACTGACCTACTTATTCCTACAAAAGGAATTTTTAATATCTTTAGCCATTTCCCCGGTAGGCTCCGTCCCGTTGAGCGTGACTCACCCTGTATATATATATTATATATATATATATATATATATATATATATATATATATATATATATATATATATACAGGGTGATATATATATATATATATATATATATATATATATATATATATATATATATATATACAAAAAATATACACAAATGCTCCAATATGTTACCACATATTGGAGTAGGGTGTGAAAGGTTGAAATAACTTTTTTTATTAGATAGTTTAACTAAAACAATTAAGAATGAAGAATCAAGTTTGAGGGGTAGTTAGGTATCCATTACATTATGATTTATATTTTAGGTTAATGAGCTTTCCAAAATTGGTGGGGAGACAGTTGATGAGTTTGTTAAAAGATGCCTTAAAAAGCTCATCAGCAACCAAATTCAAGGCAAATGTAGTTGGCTGGGAAAAAGACAAAAAAAGGCTTTTGCACACACAAATATAGCCATGCTTATAAAAGGTTTGTAGCTTGTAAATATAAAATAATTTAAGGTACATTTAAGAATTTACTCTATCTCAAATAATCACATACATAGGATAAAGCATATTGTTAACTGTGTCTATATAAAATTTAGATGGAGAAATTTACAGACTCTACAAATGTTTGGGTCATTAGAAGTAAATACCAATGGTTGAGTTGGTATTCTTCTAGTTGAGGCTATATTCATTAACACTTGAAATTGACTTGTTTAAATTTAATTATATGATGATTTATTCACAACAAAGTATAATTCATTAAATCTGAAACCAATTTCTTCAGTTTAATATACAATATTTCTGTTTTTAGATGCTGCTTGGAAAAATATGAAAACTAGTACTGCCACAGAAAAAGAAATTGAGAGTGCCATGAAGTACCTCAAAAGGGCCAAGGAAAGGGCAAATGCCGAAATAAAAATGTAAAAATTTAATGGTTAAATTGTGTGGTCAGTAGACAAAAACAAAAGTCAATTTTTATTTATTAAAAATATCTAAAAACATATTTACCTTTGAAATAAAATAGACAAATCAAAATGATGGAAGATGTATGTATTTCCATATCAAGTATTAATCTTTTTTATACTTATGATTTTAACTTTAATTAATTAATTTTAATTTTAAAACTCAAATATTGACATGTCTACTCACCACACAATTGTAAGTGAAATAATTATGATATTCCAAATTGCATAAAGTTGAATGATTATGTTTTTGTGAGCCACAGTCATATTGATTTTTCCAATTTCTATAACAGTATCCACAATCCTTCTTTCTTCTGTCCAGACAAGTGGAGTCAAAGACCTGATATTAGTCACAGCCATTCACTCATTAACTATTAAAATTTGTGACATTCTAGCATGCTTTCTTCTTCTTCTCGTGCCACTCCTAGCGGATATTGGAAATCATCATGGCAACTGCGACTTTGTTAGCAGCGCGCCTAAAAAGTTCAATCGAACTACACCCAAACCATTCACGTAGATTACGAAGCCACAATATTTTTCTTCTTCCCACACTTCTTTTGCCCTGCATGATGTTTCTTAAAAGTTTGTACTTTTCACCTCTCACAATGTGCCCCAAGTATTCCATCTATCTAGTTTTTATCTCATTTAGAATTTCGCATCTTTTGTCTAAAGTTTGGAGTACTTGCGTGTTAGTGACGCGGTCCATCCATGATATTCTGAGAATGCGCCTATAGCACCACATCTCGAAAGCTTGCTTACAGTGTCTTAATACCAATGAAGGTATTGGTCCAGACAGAATATCGTTACTTATTTTTAAAGAATTATGCATTGTTTTTATGTAGGCCTCTATGGCTTATTTTTAATAAATCTCATGACTGAGGGTTACTTTCCATCGCAATTTATTTATTGATTTTATCCTTAAAACATTGATTTCTAATTATTGTTCCATTTTAATTCTACTATTCCTAAAATATTTGAGGCTTTACTGACTGATTTTTTGACAGTACATCTGAAGAATCCTTTTCATACTGGTCAGCAATGTTGCCTGTGTGGTCGTTCAACTTCTACCAATTTACACTGATCATGTTATAATTACATTAAAAAACATTTTTTATGTCGATTAGATTTATACGACTTGTCTACAAGCATCTACTGTTTTTGTAAATTGTGTAGACCATATTCTTATTCTGGTATGATCAATTTCTTGAATCTGGATTCTCTTACCAGAAGTTACCTTTCAATCTGTATTTTTAAGGTTGTTCATAAAATAACCAATCTCCTGAATTGCTTCATCTAGTTTGTTTTCATA